TATCGTGATATTTATATATGGTTGGATAGAGCTCGTCGAGCTGTATTAGAAAATGTGTGATTTAGCCTTACAAACAAAAGAAAATTTGAAAAAACTCATAGTTTTTAAAACCGCTTATTTTTTAAAAAATGAGCGTGAATGTCTCTTGTAGTGCTTTTGGTAATTTTGAAACACTTTATTCTTATTCTAAATTAACAAATTAACAACTGTCGCTAATAGTGAAAATCACTCTTCCCTCTCTGGCAAATGTTTCAAGTCTTTCTTGATACGAGATGAAACGAATATTTTTATATCATTATAGTCGCCCTAATAGCACGGAAGCGTTATGTCTCAGCTTTGGTAAATATTGTTCGGGTGTTGGGTCACTTGGGTTTTTTTTGGNTTCGATTGTTGAGAAACTTAGTATTTTTGAAACAGGTAGCAAAAAACAAGGAAATTGTATTTTGCAGGAAAAAAAATGAAAGTTTTCTAAAACTCGTGAGACACACATGAATCAATTCAGTTTTTGATGCTGATCCCAAATATGATACTGATTTTCCAAAAAAAATGCAAATTTGATGAAAACTGCAAAATACAAGTGAATTTCCTTGTTTTTTGCTGCCTGTTTCAAAAATACTAAGTTTCTCAACAATCGAACAATATTTTCCAAAGCTGATACATAACTCTTTCGTGCTATTAGGGCGACTATAATGATATAAAAATATTCGTTTCATCTCTTATCAAGAAAGACTTGAAACATTTGTCAGAGAGGGAAGAGTGATTTTCACTATTAGCGAAAGATCAACAATTTGTTTGTAAGGCTAAATCACACATATTCTGATACAGCTCGACGAGTTCTATCCAACCATATATAAATATCACGATAAAAAAGTTTTACTCCTCCTTTCAATTATGTGCTCGTTAGTTTCGCATAGCAAGTCTAGTGATTCTTTAATACTAACTTTTATATTATCTCCAAAATAAATAATAATTGGTTCATGTTCATCTGATTTCCTAGTGTTTAAATCAACATCATTAATGGTCTGTTTCAATCCATAGTTCGTAATATATTTGAAAATAATTTGTAAATCTTTACTATTTCCACCAGTATAGATACCACCAATTACGCATAATTCTCTTAGATCACTAATTGGCTCAGATTCATTACCACATTTATAAAATGGATTATACTGATCAAAAAATGTTGGTTTTTTACTATTAACAATAATTAAATCAAATAATGAATGCCAGTCTGATCCAAATGCATAGTTTGCTAATAATTCTGTATAATCCAATTTACTATTTGTTATAACAAATAAATATTTTCCATATTTTAATTTCAATTCTATTAACCAATTTCGAATATCATCTCGTTTATAAATATATTTACCTATATTTGTTCGTAATTCATTAAAATAATCACTTTTATCAAATTCACCACCATAATTATGTTCAAATGCAGCATATATATGAGATAAAAAGAAACTATATTTATTTGTATCGTCTATTTTTAGACTATTATTGAAGCTGCTATTAAATAATTGTTGTTTATCAATTAAATCAACAATATTAGCAATTAAATATGCAGCGGCTTGTTCAAAATATGTTAACATAATCCAGTAACGTTTATCCGTAGAATTTTCAATTGACTGTAAATTATCTGGATAACGCTGTTTTAATACATCTTGATCAATTTTAGTATTCAAACCATGTAAACTGTAAATAACCGAACCACTATTATTCAATTGTATTATGTCACCATATAAACTATCATAAATTAAGCCTTTAACAGCATAATCATGAATTGATTCTGTATTTGTTTGTAATACAGAGTTATAATGATAATTTTCAATGAGATAATCCGATATTATTCGATAGATCAATATATGAAAATTGTGTAATTGATAACGAATTAATGTATGATCTAAATCAAAGCCAAACCAATCGATTGATGATAAATTTATTGTTGTTTCTTTAAAAGATTCTGAAGTAATGCTTTGTGTGGTTTCCATTCTTATTTTGTAAAATTTAAGTTTCTGAAAATCAAAGACATAAATATCGAATGAAAACTTGTGCTAGTACTACTAACGAGGAATCCTCTCGAGACGATACCGTGTTTTTTGATCGAAATCTAGTGATTCATAGGTTATCGACCATGCTGATTCTGAATATTAACATGAGACGAGCCGCCGGACCTCAAGAGACTGGTTTTCTGGAAAAGCAGTTTTTCAGAAACTCTAAAAAATAAC